ATCTTGAGGTTTTACAATAAACATGCAATACTTGCATGGTAGTGATAAAATGCACAGAAAAAATTTTAAAATATACTTGTGTACAAAAGTGATTGCCACAAAGAGACTAGATTTTTAATAAGAGCAGATTTTTTTATGCTCTTGAAAATTTTAGTATCATTTTTCATACTAGTATTAATCAATATTTCAATATGGTACTAAGAGGAACCTAACATGTTAAATACTAAATAGTATTTCATGTAGGATTAGAGAGAATAAAAATTAATATTTAAAAATTATGGTTCATGCAAATATATGCCAAAAGTTTAATTCCAATAATATCACCTATCTATGCAAAAAATGTTTTGTTCCTTCTTACTAATCAAATCTTGACATTCTTAGCCTGGAAATCAAGCTCTCCATAATCTAGTACCATAAGTTACAGCCTTTCACTATTGCATGCTTTTTTTTTTTTTTTTTTGAGATAGCGTCTGGCTATGTAGTTCAGGCTGGCCTTCAATTCAGTACGTAGCTCAGGTGTTCTCCAGTTTGTGGTGCTTCCTGATCCGCCTCCTGAGTGCTGGGATTACAGGTGTGTGCCACCACACTCTGCCTGTGCTTTTTCTCAACAAGATTTCAATGTTGTCGGTTGCTTCATTGCCTTTGGCCATGCTTTACATTCCCTTGGTCTCTCTAACCTCCTCTTTGTACATGTTCACACTTACTTTCCCTATCTTCACGGGCCTTCTATTCTCTTCGCATACCTAACTCTGGTGATTGGATGCATGTAACATTTCATTTCTCATTTTTAAGGCCTGATCACTTTTTCCTGTGTGACATTTGTGCATATATATCAGCACCTGTACTTTATAGCACATGTGTTATAGAACATAGGGACAAAGATTAACCTCTGATAGTTGAACTGGTAAATTCTATCCTTATAATGCAAATTGATCACTCACAGAAAGAAAAACGAATCTTGGTATGAATCCAACCTTGGCCACTTACTAACTATATACAGTTGTTTACTATCTTTAACTTCTCTGCACCACACTTTTCTTATGGTTGTTGGTGTTGCTGAGGCTTCAGTGAAATACCTCTTCCATCCCATTGCACCCATGGGTAGCTGCAGAGGAGTATGGGAATTTCTGTTTCAGTTATGTGCTTTGTGGAAACTCAGGAGTTGGATCCTATTACTAAAGGGAAGAGAGAGGGATGGTACCAAACAACAGTCCTAACACCAAGAGGATTCTGAATCTGAAAGACTGCAGTTCAAACGCAACTGGGATGAATTCTCAAAAATAAAGCCTTTGAGACACGTGAGTTTTCTATCTAAAGGTGCCTTAACCGTATCTTCTTCTTTAAACTGTTAACACCTCCTTAAGGATAGAGACTCTAAGGATCAGTGTTTTATGTGTTCCCCTCCCCATTCTTTTGCTTTATTCTCCCTGTAAGTTAAATGGAGGACACACAGTACACAAGAATCCAATACATTTCATCTAAGTATGATTCTCTAGAATGTGCAACTAAAACTTAAGAACATGTTGCATTTGTATTAAGATTTCTACCAGATATTGGACAGTAGAAGTCCTGTGCAGCTAAAAAAGCCTGTTTTAATATTTAGCTGTCTTTTGAATTCTTTGATATTAGATTATTCCTTCTAATTCCACAGTTGCAGAGCTGTGAAAAGTGAAAGGGCAGTTAAGATGGTCCTACTTCTTCATCATTAGCCTCACAAGAGCCTAGAAGTCATAGTTTTTAGAAAGTATGGAATGTCCTCTATTGACAACAGTGCACAGATGTTAACCACATTTCCTCGTGTGACAATTTGCTGTTGTCTGGTAGCTTTGAGGGTCATGTAGCACATGGTAAATAAAGAAACATCCTATGTCTTCTTAGATTTTTACATTTTATTTTAAAACACAAAATCTCATATTGATTAACAACTACTTTTGAACAGAATGATGCATTAATTAAATGCCTTGTCATAACGGTTATAAGCTCTGTTAAAAAAATAAACATCTCACAACAATCTACAGTGTCAGCTCTTTAATAAATACAGAAAACAGAAGTTAGTAGTCAGTCAAGAGTTGTGTGAGCAGGTTCATAGTATATTATGTGAAATTATCATATTCTCAATCTTTTGTATCATTTAAGGCAATTTAACTATATGTATAATCCAAAGCCAGAAATAATATGAAATATGTTCAGGAAGAATTTACTTCTTTCTTAGAGCTATTTCATTTTCAAATACTTTAATTTAAAAATACATTCTATATTAATTTCTTTTACAAAGGAAATATATGTTATGTGAAACACAGGAAGATTATGTTACTGATAATTTAAAAAACATTTGTAATATTTTTCAGAGGTTTAAAAACCTTAGTAAAGTAGCAGATACATGTAAAATAATTTTAAAAGTATGTTAAATATACACAAATGAATTTCTATATTAATATGTGCAAATTTGTATTTTCTTATAACTTAGAATTAAAATATTCTATGTTCAATATTTTTAATAAAATCTATGTACCATACTTATCATTCAGTTGGAATCTTATCAAAATCACATTTGTCTGTTGGATAGTATGAAATTGATAAAGTCTTTATATAGATCACATATTTTTAATTCTCAATGATGACAGTTTTTTTATATATTGTTGTAGTAGACAATTTTAACTGAAGTTGGTTATAGAAGCTAGAAAACTGGTCAATAGAGTTAAATTACAAAGATAAATTTTATGCAGAAAAATATTTCAGGTAGATTAAGAGTAGTGTTATTACTTTCAGGTATTTCATTAAAAGCTGCCCAGAAAGCTGAACAATTGTTTCACATAATGAAAATAATTTAAATATGCAATTTTACAAAACTCATTACATGGGTTTGAAAGGAAACCATGAGAAGAACAGAAAGGAAGAAGTGAAAAAAATGTAGGAAAACTGGGAAGGAAAGTTATTTTCTACAAGACTGATTTGTTGTATCATAATTTTCTACTGCCATTGAAACAAGACATACAGGATGCCATAACATCTAATTATGATGGTTTCATGGGACATTTTTCCAGTTAATTTTATTTGAATGTGAGATGATCTTATAAAAACTCCTTAGGATTAGAAAGAATAAAAATTTGTTAACAAAAGTTGGAGAAACCCATCCCCTCTTATCAGTTAATCTAGGTTTGCTGAAATCATTATTCACTGCATGAAATATACATAAAAGTCCTTTGGGACTTTGAGCTTCTGTAAATTAAATATATGCAGAATCAGAGCTGATAATAGGCAAGCTAAGTTCCATACTGAACTGTACATAATTCAATTGTACTGAAAATTGGCATTACATGTTATGACAAATGAATTCACAAACATTTATAAGAAAAGGAATATTTCAGTACTCATGAATATTTAGTTAAAGTTGAATTAGTGTAATATTTATTCAAAAATACTTTAAACACTCTACCTAAGATGCCAAGGAGACATCACAGATTCAGGAGACATCACAACCTCAGAGTTATTCAAATTGAAAAATTGTGTATCTTAAAATCAGTGAGACACATACGGATACGAAAGTCAGTTTCACATAGTAAATTTGCTGTGGAGGAATTATAAGAGAAAAAGGAAATGATCTGAAAGCAGGCTAGTTCTATATTCCTTTGAAAAGATTTGCATTGCATTAAGTGGAGATTGTAAGGTCAATTTAGATAAATACAGTTATAACTTAAATATTAAGAGTGACTAAAAGAATCTAATATACATATAATTGAACTCCTAAGTAACTGAAGTTCACTTTCTACATGTATGACAACATATATATTGTGAATCTTTAAGAAGGGAACGAAGTTCAAAGAGTTGTAGAAATGTAAAATTCTTAGTTTTAATGGGTCTGTCTCTGTTTAGAGCATAGACTCAAATGAATATTAAAATCAGTAAGTGATACTTGAAGAACTTGCTTATACCATTATATTCTGTTGCTTTTCACAATTAGGCTTATTGAACTTAAAGTTTTAGGGAGAGCTCTTGGGAAATGTTAAGTGGATAAAAACAGAAGTTCAGAAAGTAAGAAAAAGCCTGTAAGTCTAATCTAGTCTACAGGTACCAGGAGGAGTAAAATTCTATGGAGAAAAATTTTCGAAGTCTAGCACAAAATATTTCAGTGTCTCCTATATGCTTGCTTGTATACATAAAATATCTTCAGTAGAAATGAAGTAAGTATTTTAAAGATTTGGGATTTATTCTTTGGTGAAATATTTTAATGTATCCACTAATTTTAATTTTTTGGAATTTAAAAATATTTGCCTCCAGAAATATCTAGCTTTTGGGTGATATTTATAAATCAAAGCTAAATCGAACATTTGGGACATAATCAGATTTTTAGTGAATTTTAAAGTTTTCTCCAGACTGTCTATGGCTTAATAAATACCAGCAATTTTCCCAAAATATATTAGATATGTACAAACACATGTGTACTGCACTGTAAATGTGTCCCAGAGAAATCAGTTGCATACAGATATGTTGTAGTGTATGTATAGTACATTTCTTATTAGTCATTGACAGATTTTAGGGCACAAACATGATACTGTACCAAAGTGTTTTTCAAGTTCCTAATTTTGTTAGCAGGTTAAAATGTCATTAATTGTGCTCAATATCCATGAATGTCAAAAGGCTCCTGTGGTCATAGTAGCTGAAAATAGGCTTTATTTACATAAGTTATTTAATCTAAGAATACCCTGTTTCCCCTTATCTTTTAATTAATTATAACTAGTCAAATATTATCTTCTCATAAACCATTACACAGAAAAATATCAATTATTCAAGTAAAGTATAAGCCCTAAAATCTTTATGAATTAGCTTTTTTAAGTAAAAAAAAAACAAAAACAAAAACAAGACATCCCAAGCATAACTATAATCATCGTGTAGCACTGAATTGCCTGTAAGGAAGTTTGTCTCTTTCCATGATAACAGCCTTGGTCCATTTTGAAGTAAGTGCAAATTAGTGAAAGTTTAAAATACATAAATCCTTCATGTCTAAGGATTTCATTTTATTATGCTGTTTTGCTCATTCCTTAGAGTAATTTATTGTTCACAAACACTGTAATATTAATTTTTAAATTGTCAGCATTTTGAATAATACATAGCTTCAAATGTTTTGTTTTGGTGTGTTCGCAGGCATCCATTCATCTAGGTATTCATAGAAGGATGCTTAGATGTGTTTCGCTACAAAATACCATGTTTACATCATCATCAGTAACCAAAGTATTTTTACACAAGTTCACACTATAGAAATAAGTCAATGTCTCCAACCTTTTGTTTGGGGAAGGAAATTATGTTCAATTTAGCATCATTATAGCCCCTAGCTGTAGAGGAGAGTCAGCAGAGCTGCTGTGTCCCTTAGCATCAGAGCAACTTACATTACTTTCAGCTCTCCTAGGGCAGAATACAGGGTGGAGATTAGTTTTCCTGTAGAAAATTCACTCAAATGCTGGAAGACAGCAACTCTGGGAAGATATTTTTAGGAAGAAATTTGAAATAATTTCCTTTGCTGTCTTAGGTAAAACTGTACTTCACACAGGACAGTTGGATTGCTAGTCAATAAACTTCGACTGAATAGGTATCTACAGTGTGGTATGTGAAGGAGTTTCCTTTGGAGAAGTTAGGGCTCACAGGCCTTCTTAGCGAAGTCTGGAGCTGAGCAGAGCGCAACTCCAGGGAGCGCTATTCATGGGCTCTAGTGTGAAGAGATTCCCCTGTGTTATGCCATGCTGCTAATTAGCAGGAAAGACTGGAAGTCAATTACGGACAGTTGAGTTTGGATGGTTCTTCTCTACCTTGCTTTGAAATGGTCTCATACCCACATACTTACGATAGCAGTAAGTCACATTTAAAAACTTTGCCAATTGAGTACTGAAAAGATTCAAGAGGTAGCATGCTATTGTGCAGTGAGTACTGGCTCACAATTAGAAGACATAAACTGTTACCCTAATGCTGCCATTTCATCACTTGGATGTTTCTTTGAGAAATCATTTAAACTTACTAAGCTTCAGTTCCCTTACTAAGGGAAAACTAGCTTATTTCGAAGACATCACTTTTTCTCCTCCAATTTTATTCTTTTATGAAATCTGATGGGCCAGGTTAGGATGAGTTCAGAGAAAGAATATCTTTAGGTTGCACTGAAGGGCAAAACCCAAAATGTATAGCTTTTCATTAGAAACATTGTATATCTACTTGGAGCTAATCTTAGGAAACTCATTCACAAGTGTGGGACTTTGCTTGAGGCAGTTTCTCATTGTCTTGTAAATTTCAACTTATACATTAGACTAATGAAATGAAGAAACAATCCATCCAGTTTACCAGGTAAGAAGATACCACATCTTTAAATACTGAAGCTATTCATGTTCAGATGATCTTTTACAGTGTCCTTCTTAACATTCAACTTTTAAAACCAGTTATTCTAATAAAGTGACATTGTATTACAGGTTTATGGCAGTAGTACCTTAGCACTTATTTAATCCAGTCATGTGTGACATATATAAACTTATCCTGGAAGGAATAAAAACAAAGTGTAAATGCAAACAAGAGAGACTGTTGGAATTAGTAACCATTTTGTAAAAAAACCACATAAACACATGCATCAAACCACATAGTTTCACAAGCAATATCCCTTAAGATTAAGGTTCTATCTGTTCACCCCCTGAACTAGTCTAGCATTCTTGGCTAATCACTGCCAATAGTTGCAGGGTTTGGCAATTTTAGCATGTAACTGCTGGGTTATTCTTTCATCCGCATGTTCAGGGCAGGGATTGCTGCTGCGCCTTTGTAGTGACACACTGCTAACCTGTCCAAAAACATTGTGTCTCTCTAGGAAGCGCAGGAATCACAGGTACCTGTAAAGTGTAATCAGTGCTCTTCAGATGATCTACATTCTATGCTGATCTAAATAAGTTATATATTACAGTAAAGTGCTACATGACACTAGTCTCAAAACAGTAGTAAGACACATTTTTTTTCTCAGAAAAATTCAGCAGCTGTGTGAGTCACATGGCAAAGAGGATGTGTGTCAGTCTTCATTCAAATATGCAACCAGCAGTTGGCATGATCTTGAATAATTTGCTTCCTCTCGTGACTTTTATGCTTAATATTTTTTAGGAGCAATTATTTAAAAATCCAGTTTCTCACAAAGTATTTCTAAAGTCTTTTTCTAGAAGTTGCACCTGAAAGTCTCATGAGCATTTAATTTGTTGATATCCATTTTGATTTCTTCGGGCTTCTCACGTCGGTAGGTGACTGCTCTTGTGCAAACACTCTGCAGAATCAGCTTATCCTTGATGGAGAAGAAATACTACCATTAATTTAGGGCTTAAATATTGCTAGATGCTAACACATGGATAATCATCCTTTTTTAGAATTCACTGACCTTTTTTGAGGTGGACACTCTGTAATCGGATGAGGACTTAACTTTACTACTATTCCACTGCAGTATCACCTGCCTAATGATAAGGACTTTAAGCAACCCAATCAAGAAAGTAACTATGAATATGATGAAGAATATTCTTAAGTAGCTTGGGCTGGATAAACATTCTGTAATAAAACAAATCAAATAGGTTAAAAATCAGCATGGATAAATCAAAGGATCCTATCAAGTAAATGATGTTCACATTTCAGTTGACAGAGCCATATTTTCAAAACAGAAGACTCTAACTTTTATGGCACATCTATCATTAAAATATTTTCACCATAAAACCTTCCTTTGGAAAACAGCCACAATTAAAGTATTTGATAACATTACTCCTTTGCAGCTGGATCCTATAATTGTACCAGTTGAAATATGTCTATGTTCTTTACCCAAATATAATTTTATCCATAGTAGAATAAGGGGTGATTTTTGTGGTGTGCACTGTTGAGCGCTCATTGGGAAATAGGATTTTAAAAAGTTGCTTAATAACTCTGGGCATTAGCATATGTATCTGTTGTTATGCTCTCTCTTCACTTGTTGTACACCAGTAATGGAAAATAAAGAATCCATCTGCAGAAGGTAAAATCAGTCATCACTCTAATAGATGAATAAATATTTCCTTTGAAACTGCAGCATAAGATTTCATTATTATCACACATGGCTTCTTCAGGAAGTAGCACTGTCCACACTGGGACAATAGGCAAATCTCTTTTTGCTAGTTTACATTTTACTTCTCTTATTCTATGCGCTTATTCTATGTACTTTTCCAAGAACAAATAATTACTAGTGGGAAGAAAAAAAGTGCTGTATTAGGAGGAGAAGCATGCTAGCCCTCTGGGTTAGCACCAGTGCGTTGGCAAACTCTCACCGGAAAATATGCAGGCTCTGTTATTGCCAGAGGTATCACCCTGCTCTTAGAGGAAGAGCATTGCATAATAGCAAGTATTCCACAGAACTCACCAGCTGCCCCAAATTTGTAAAATCACTTCCTGACCTAAAGAAGCATGTGTTCCTCCACCCATTCAGCAGACTTTGGGAAATTTCATCAAAATGCTGAAGTCTCCCTTGTAACTGAGAAGGCCTCTAGGGAGAGGACTTGCTAAGGCTGAGAACAGTGCATCATCCAATTATGGGTGATGCATGTCGGATTTGTAGTGATGTGGTCAAGTACGCTCATCAGCAGGGCAAGAACTCAGTGACAAGGGCAAGAGGTCCTGTCGCACAGAGCCCAGATGCTTTTGGTAAGTGATAAAGGACCTTGAAAAGAAGGTCAAAGGCAGACTCTTGGGCTACTTATTGGTATGCAAAGGCCAGATTTGGATGTAAGTCTTCCATTGTTACAAATCTCTGGGAGACAGAATCCAAGATGCTGTATTCGAAAGAGCCCTTTGAGTTCTGCACATCACCTTCCAGTTAATGACCCTCTTTCCATGTGTGTGGACTGACTGTCATTTCCCTTGGCTGACTCAGGTCACTCACTCACTAAGGCAGATTCTCAGAGGAGGCACGTGGCTTGATCCTATTTTCTGGCTCTTCTCCAGGTGGGAGCTTAGCCAGAAAGAACGAAAGAAGACCTTTTAAGTGTGGCTGAGTGGGTAGATAACGGAGGTGCCTAAGCAATGCCCTTTCCCTCTTCTTGCACAATAGTTGTCAGGGGGAGGGAAGTCTTCCAGCTACTGAGACATTTCAGAAGTATTTCTCAGGGGTTAAGACAGAGGACATTTCTAGGGCTTAAATCTACATTCATTTTTAAATGCTGTCACAGATGGTCAAACATTTATCCTTGACCCATGCTTTTCTTAGTTTAGGTCAGACCAGGGCTTTTTTCTACAGAGATTTAAGGGAATACTATTTGTAACAACACTTAAGTCACAGTAATGTTTACCCAACATAACAAATGACATGTTAATAGTAAGAGTCCTATTTATTAGAAAGGCACTTGGCTTTCTGCAGTGATTGCTGCAGCCCCAGCTGGCAGCACATGGGGCTGTTTTCAGAGCCAAATTCATCATGGGCTAAGATCAGTGTGGATGTGAAAGAAAAAGAAAACAAAGCTTGGGAGAAAATTTGTTCCTCTCTGCAGTCTCGTTTACTGTCTTGCAGATTTTGAGGTTGGTATTGTCTCACTTGCACAGATGAGGAGACTGATGCTCAGGGAAATTTGTAGGAGGGCTGGTGTTTCCTAACTAATAATGCTAAGGGCTTTAAGCCAAGGTCCTCACACTAAAAGTTCCAAATTCTTTTCATTATGACACAGTTATATTCACCCCAAGCTCTACTGATATGAGAATGAGAAATTCAGGAATGTTCTTTTGAAGTTACATATATTGTAAAAGCACATCATTGTCACTTAGAATTTTATGGCTTCACCTGACATATGACAGCAAATGTTGCTTTGATGTAAGGACAGTCAGAACCAGAAGCAAGTTTGAGTTAGGAGGAAAAATGATGACTCCACAGATCTTACCTCCTAGTGAAATGCATTTACACAGGGAGCCCATACTTTAGGCTTAACTGAGGCCTTTCCAGCCAATTCATTTGGAGGCCTCCATGGAGAGGCTCAGCATGGAAAGAGAGCTGCGAAGATGAGGTGGGACACCTACCTAGTCAGGAACACCGTCTCAGAGATTTAAACAAATGAATTCCAAGTTCACCCAATTGCATACATGAACATGTGCAGTTTTTGTGTACCTAGGAAACCTCAATGAAGTTATTTAAAAAATAAAGCAGTATTTCATAATGAAACCCAAATCAAAGACATTAGCCCTTTCCTTAGCACGGCTGGTTCCGGTCCCTCTTAGGGAACATGGTCCTAACACATGCCCTGCATGCTTGGAGTTGAACGCCTGGCTTACCTGATGTTTGGTCAACATAATGCTGATCCAGGAGAGCACATGAGGTTTTACACTGAGCAAGGCCAGCTTGAGACAGATTGTGAGGGTGAAGGCATTGCATACAATTCCTGTGAGGGGGAATTTACAACATTTATTCTTTAAAAACGTGATAGGTTATAATGTTTTCTATGGAAAAATACAAATAACGAAATAATCCAAACTTTGATAAGGTGCCCTAGAAAAAAAATCACATCATTATTTTGAAACATTGCATTTCTAAATGACTTAAATTCCTACACACAATTTTAAGATCTTGCAAAGTGAGGAGGTAAACATTTTAAAAATTTGAATAAAGCAAATTGGAAGGTACAGTGATGTTTAGATTGGCGGTCTCCAAGTAGGTTTAAAATTGTTACTGGAAAAATATTAGTGCAAAACAATAATGTTGCCTTCATGTAATGTATCAGCTGTCACATATGCATCACATTTTTATTTTATTTATTTAAGTTTTTTGTATCACGTTTTTAGACCGCTTCATAGCCACTTCATTTTTAGTCAAGGTAAAAGTAAAACACAATAATAGTAGCTGACATTTATTCAGTGATCGCCATGCACTGAAGATTTTTTTTATTCAAATCATTCATTTCTTTCATAGAACTATGGCAAGGCATTGTTATTATCCTCACTCTGTATCAGGAAATTAAGGCAGAGAAGATTATTTTATTAGTACATACTTGGCATTCATAATGGTCACATTCATCATGGGGAATTTGCGCCTGTACACGATATATTTTAATTATTTTCCCATTCTCCTCCCTTCCCTTTAACCCTTCTTCCCCTCTCCACTTACAAAAGCTCTGTTTTCACTTTTTTCCTTCTATTTTCTGTTTTTATTTAAATCCCTTTTCCTTTCCCCTTGCCCCCCTCTCTTTGTTCTAATCATATAGTTAACTCATAGCCAGCTGGGTAGCAGGCAGCTGTTTTCCAAAACTTACTTAAAAAAAAAAAAAAAACTAAGGTAGTGAATACCTGGATTTATTCTGATACTCCAGCAGCTATTTATTGGCCAAATATTGGAATCCAAGCACCTTAATTCCTCAAATTCCCTAACCAATTACTTTTTGAGCGTGATGTAACAATTTATCTAGTAGCTACGAATTTTAAGGAAGGGAGAATAAAGAGCAAAACCAGCTGTGCTGAAGAACTGTCTTCTGTGTATGGGAGGCAGGGATCATACCAGTTTTCACTGCAGGCGGTGTGGCAGGTGGGGCAGTGTTCGCAGAAGCGGCCGATGCTCCCGGGATCCGTGCACTCGCACCTGCCGCACACACACGTGCCTCTTCCGCTGCACACCTGGCCCTTTGAATTGACACACTGCTGAGCTGATGCGGACGGGCACTGGCACCGGTCCCCATCCCAGCCGCTGAAGCACTGGCATTTTCCGGCTTCACACTCGCCATGCCCTGCAGCAAAGGAACACCAGGGTCTAAGTGATGGAGACCACCAGTTGGGAAGAGCTTCCAAACCCGGGGTCCCCTCCCATCCCCATGGAAACACACGGGCAGTCAAGTGAATGGAAACAGCATTATTCTGTATCTGTCTGACATGGCGCCAGCATTTAGGAGTGTCTATTTCTAAAACCGTTCCATTGCAGATCATCTCCCCATGCTAATACACTGTGTTAACAAGCATGAAGGGAGCCCCGGCTTTGGTGCTGCCAGACTACTTGAGTGTCAGTGTACATTCAGTTTTAAATTAAAACACATAAATATAAAGAAGTTACCCAAGCTGAAGTAATGAAAAAATATGCATACTCGGTTAACGGCTTTTGTAGTGTGTGCAATTACTGCAGTCCCACTATTGCCAAGGGTCGTTGATAATTCTGAAAAACCACAGGACACACATTGCTAGTGTTTCAGTGATGCTCAGATTGGATTTCAAGATCAGGTCTTCTGAGAAGTGTAAATTATCCTTTCACATCCACAGAACATCATTTAATAGGTTAGCAGGGTCGCCCTAATCTAGGCTGCTAGCTGGTACATAAGAGGGGAAAAGGAAGATGGAGTGTGTGTGTGTGTGTGTGTGTGTGTGTGTGTAAGGTGGTAGTGGTGAAAGGCACTTATGTGATAAATAGGATAAGGAAATATGAGTTATATATAATTAAGTGGACTTTAGAGTCAGTGACCAAAATTTAATGTGCCAATGTGAACTAGAAATCTCCAACAAGGAGTAAAATTTACAGGTAATACAGTATTTCTCAAGCTTATTTGGCTACAGAACAACCAACCTTTTTTTCTTCCTCCTTTTTCTTCCTTTCCTTCTTTCTCTCTCTCCTTTTCTTCACTCCTCCCTTCTCTTAGTGCTGAGCACGTCATAGGTTAAGTGTCCCACAGAGTCTAACGTTGAATCAGCTCAATTTGGTAAGTGTAAAACTAATGAGATCCAGGCCAAACAAACGTCTGCCAGACCCCGATCGCTGCACAGCCTGCATGCCAAATCATAGCTAGATGACCTGCAAACATGTGTTTTTATTCCCAGAGGAGATGAGTGGAGAAAATGCATGTCAGCCCTGCAGTTTGCACTTATACACAAATAGTCCAAGGCAGATTCACAACTGCTTGTGGGTTAGTAGCACCAGAGTCAAATAGGAGGGTCAGTGCATTGATTTTTGATTCTTCGCTGTGGAGACTGGGATTCTCAAATATATCTGAAACTTCTTTAAGAGACTGACAGCTATAGGCAATGATCTCGGGAAAGCCTTTCTTTTCCCTGTAAAATAATATTTTTTTTTTCTCTATAAAGTATAGTAATCAACTGTTGATTCATTCTGAAGGCATTTTTTAATTCAGCCTAGCCAAAATTCCAGTTACAGCTGAATAAATGTTTGAAATAGAAAACATTATATATATAATGACATAGAAAGACAATTTGCCACTGAACATTGGGTAATACTGGCCAAATTTTTAACTTGCACAGCGTAGAAAAAAATTTTTTTATAGGTTGTTACTTTCCATATGTTTGGGATAATGAATTATTTTTATACATCACTAATTCAGTAAATACTTATTAACTAAAACTCAAATACTCAAAAGATGCTTTCATGATAAATGAATTTTTTCCATACTGCCAAGAAAAAAGTACCACAGAACTCAGACACCAGATAGTTTAACTTATTTAAAAACTACTTTGTTTTAACTTTCAAACGATCCACATTTCTTTTTTTTGGGGGGGGGCACTGTAACCTGTAGGTGGCAGTAAACCGAATTAACAAAAAAGTAACCCTTATACTATTTTTATTTTAACTTATTTCACTTTAAAATTTGGTCTGTGTGTGGCCAGAGGGACTAATCTTCTAGATTACTTAGCAATCCAGTATTTTCTTGAAGAATGCTGCCCTTTGGCAATTCTGTTGCTGGTGGCGTTCCAAAAATAAACTGGCTAGGTTTAAATTACCACAAACTTACAATACCATCTATGATGATGCATTAAGAATTTTCCAGTGAATGAAAAGTATATTTTTATAGTTCACTTCCCTTATCCCGACAGAAATAAAATCCTCTGAGCAAGCTGCAGGGAGTGACCGTTTGCCAGAATGAATCAAACCCCATGGAAGAATACTCTCATTCTTCTCGAACACGTGTCAGCCATCCGCAGTTATTTCCTTCTCTCGTATCATTCTTTTCAACATCAAGGCATACATGAAAGTCATAATTAATTTCAGGTTCTTATTTGGAAGTTTATCCTGTGTATTTAAATTATAAATCATGTGGCATAAATCTACTGCCATGACTTAATTTCACAGACTATAAAACCCTGAACAGTAAAGTCAGATTCAGTGGTGGCAATTTATAATGTGATTTAAATATACACTAACATATATGCTACTGTGATAGCAGTTAGTCAAAAACTACCTGTAAATATTTATACTCACCAGCACACAGATTTCCATGGTGGTAGGGACAAGAAAAATCATCCTTTTCACAGTATTTTCCATAAACTTTTCCGAGTTTAGTTTTGTGACATAAGCACTTCCCACAGATGCAAACTCCTCGACCACTGCAGGCTGGTTGCTCCTTTTCTGACTTGCAACTTTCAGACAGAAATCCATCTTCTCCCAAATGACAGTCACTCTCATCACACTGCCAGCACTTGGAATCAAGAAAAGCTTCATCTACGCACCTCCCTTTTGGCCTTTTGTGGTCCTCACACTGACACCGGCAGCTTCTGTGTATATGAACTTTAGTGGTTTCATTGAAACCAATCGGTTTGATTATTGCGTAGTTGTTTCCTCCTGTGACATCACAGTTTTTCATTGTAACTGTTACGTTGAAAAGAACCTAAATTCCAGAAGAAAATGGAAATATTTTGACATCTTTTCATTTTTCATTGACAACGTATGTTAGCATTTGAATCAATATGATATACCATCTTAGAGAAATTGACAGTGTTTATAAAATACATGTGTAGTCTATTTCAAATGTAGGTGAAAAATCTCCCTTTATCATTTATTTACTTTGAGAGTTATTTATTTGGAGAATTAAAGGAAGGAATGATTGCTAATTGCTTAAAATAGATTATGAAACAGAACTGAGTGTGCCTATGGAAGTGTCTACCCCACTTTTGGTGATTAATTTCTTAGAAAATTTGCAAAGGACATATCAGTTTCTAGCTCTGAAAATTTGAGGTTCCTGAATATTCAGCACAAAGGATGGATAGACCAAAGCAAATGGGCTTCTGCTCTGCTAGGTTTTAATGCTGAGGTGTTCAAATACATTTTTTTTTTTTTTTTTTACCAGAGCCCCAAGTGAAGTTTCAGAGTTAAACGGTAGTTTACACAGGTTCCCAGGGAGGAAAAACATGAGGTTTTCTCTTGTGTTAGTCAAGGAAAACAGGATTAGGACTCCTTTTCACATTTTACGACTACACACAGAGTCACACCTTTATCTCAGTGAGAGAGGTTAGTCCAGAACTACAGAACCAGGCTGGAAGAAATTGGAATTTTCTCTTGCCAATTTTTTTTTTTTTTCCACAACAGTATCGATTTAATATGTCTATTTATTTTTTTGATCTACCTAAACATCTTCAGGTACTCTGGAAAATAACTCTCTCTCTCTCTCTCTCTCTCTCTGTGTATTTTCATATTGGACTGAAATTTGTGTTTGTTCCAGGTTATAAATAATTTGTGCTAGGCTTTGTGGTTGGGAATTTTATATAGCATGATATAAAATATCCAAATTTAATGTTTTCTATCCGTTAGAAATTTGAATCATTATTATAATGCTAGAATTAATATACAGTTGGTGTATGTGTTTTACTTGAAATGTTTTCTTCTTTAAGAATATTAGAGCTGGGCATGGTGATGTATGACTGTAATCCCAGCACTTGGGAGGCTGAGGTAGGAGGATTGCTGTGAGTTTGAGGCCAGCCTGGGCTATGTAATGAGTTCAGCACCAGCCTAGACTACATGGGGAGGCCTGTCTCAAAAAGCCAAAAAGAAAATATTAAAAACTAGCAGGTGTGTAGTATAATGTTGTCAGTGCCATTACTAGTAGTAGAGCAAAACTTGGGGCTTATGTAATTAAGAGGTCAGATGACTATTCTGAAAATCAAATTGTTTATAATACTCAGATGACAGTAAAGGGGGCAACGAGTGTAGGCAAAGAAAGAAAACAAACCAAAAGCCCCACAAGAAGCAAGGAAAGTCATGCTTCTAAATTTGAGAGTTTGTGAGTTATTTAATTTTCCAGAAAATAACTGTTACTTTTTGCCTGAAAAAAATTTTCCTCTCAGTTTAATGGAAATAAAAATGTGTATTTTGTAAACTGACACACATGTTTTGAATAAAATCCAAGGGATTATTATAATGGGAATTAAAGAATTAGAAACTTATAATAATTAATTTAAAGTTCAAAAATTGTAGGCTCAATTGCATTACCCACAAATTCCCAAATTAATGAAGAAAAAATACACTCTAAAGGGGAAGTCTTCTTTTATTAATTTTGGAGTCTTGGGATATTCTATCTCTTTTAATAATTTTTTTCTCTATAATATGGCACTGAAGTAATTAATAATATATAGAACCTTAAGTTAGAAGAGATAGAAATCTTCTAGTCCAAGCTATTCATTTAAAAATGAGGGGGCTGGGGATTTAGCTCAGCGGCAAAGCGCCTGCCTGGCAAGTGCAAGGTCGTGAGTTCGATTCCTGGTACTGGAAAACAAACAAACAAACAAAAAAATGAGATAGCTAATGTCTCAAGGGGTGAATGACTAACTACAAATGACTTCATCCTACGAGGATTTCCTCTAAAAGTATTTTCTGTTCTCTACTGTGCCAATTGTCAGAGAATTCCTCTCTCCTCTCATCCTATTTCCTGATGCCACTATCATCCAGGCTTCACTTTACATCTCACCCCCTTTAGGTAAAGTGCTGCTCTTGATTGCGTTTAACAAAGTCCCCTCCCTCATTACGGATGTATTGGGACAATCACAAAGTGGAGGGTTTTGGAATTCTTAATCTTTCTAAACATCTCCATTTCTTCCTCTGGTGCATTACTTTCAACCTCACATTTACTCTGAGAATGTGCAGTGTGCAACTAAAAAGGCATTAGCATCATAATTATAGCTTTCCTTATTTTACCAGTTGTGACACCTATGTATGAAGTTACTACTATTAAGTGCTTAATGTGGTGCGTGTTTATTATAACATGAAAGTTTGAGGGAATGGTTATTTGAGTGAAAACAAGAATGAATTATCAGAAGAGACAATAATAGTTACTTTGAAGTGCCAATAAGATTCTTGAGAGGAGTCGGTAGTTTTTCAGAATGGTTTGGCATTCCGCGAGGAAGCATACCAAAGAACGAGTGTATCTTAAGTGAGGAAAACACGTGGCTACATACTTCATCATTGCTGGTCACATTTCTGCATCCGTCCGTGCCTGGTTTGCGGGCCCCGTCCGGACAGATGGCAGTTATGTTAAAATAGACGCCTGGTACCTGGTTTTCCACTTGAATTTTCACTTCTGAAATGAGCTTCTGCAAAGACATCATTTTAAAATTACTTGCCACAGTAGTTTCAAATGTAAGCGACAAAGCAGAGTCAGGTTTATTAAATCATTCTAATTTTTAGCGAAATTGGAATTGGTTTGTATAAAAAGATGAACATAACAAACCAATTATATTTGAAATGTGTAAGAAATACTGACAGATTAGATTATCTGAATTTAAATTTTCTATTTGCACAGACATATCCATGACTGGTTTTTGATCGTTTCAAAGTTATTTCTCATTCAGCCTGACTCACAAAAATGCAACGCTGTTTGTATTTTGATAAAGTTTAAATAACACATTGAGAACACATATCATAAAGGGTGAATTTTGACTACCTGCTTCTGACATATAAAGTTAAAGAAGTACTTTAATTTCAAGCACTTTGAGTACCATGAATGCCAGAATACCTTTCTGTTACAGAGTGGGAAGGGACCTCTTGAGGAGAACATGGCTCTCCAACAATGGCCTAGAATTTTTTTCAAGTCCCCAGGCCATGCTTGTGTCAATTAAGTTAGTTTCAAGACTTAATTCTAAAATAGGGCCTCTTACTGAGCGAGAAGCCACCACTGATTGATTCATCTACTTACTTACATGCCATTGAGTAAGCATCCATTTAATGCCCATCATGTGTTAGGCACCCACTAATTTCTCCCATCGCAATTTCTGACTGCCAAAGGTTCCAGCTCCCTTAAATACAACCTTAAGATCTATGTGCAATGTGTCTCATAAAGCTAGGAGTCTACTATATGCAAAAATCCATATCTCATACTTGTAAAAAGAAAGGAAGGGAAAAACAATACGTATGTATATATATTACATCTCTCTATATATTATATCTCTATCTCTGTATCTCTTATCTACCTATATATCTGTATCTCTATATATCTATATTTATATGTATATCTATGTCTTTCTAAGAAAAGTGGCATGTATGAAGTAAAACTTTTCAGTGGCTTTTAATTTTTTACTTTACTAATTTTATTTCTTAAATATTACATTTTCTAATCTCCTGGGCATCTCATACACTGAAATTATGAATTAATTTTAGCAAACCAATAGAGATGTCTAGTGGTATACAAATGATGTTGACAGGCAATATTTTGAAAGGTCAGAAGGAAATGTCTAACACAGGGAGCACTCTCAGTTTGCCTTTGTGAAATTTAGCTTCTCTTAAGGCCTTAAACAAGTTCAGCCAATGCTTCTCAAGCTGTGTGTGAGCACAAATCTCTAAATTTCTAATTTTTTTCCAGTTTTGAGATTTAAAAACTAAGCTCCTTACAGTTTTAAGCTTCCCTTTTATGAGACAGACTCTTATTTTTCCCTGCTATATAATTCTTCTATGAGTTGTGAATTGTTTCATTGGGACTATGGAGAAATGAAATTTTAGAAGAATTTGAAACTGCAGACACATAAAAATAGTAACAGGATCTCAATGTAAGGAAATTAGTCAGAGTAAGTTTTTTTTTTTTAATTTAATAGTATTCTCCCATTGTAAAGTTAATGAGAACCACGGTGGGCTACCACATCCCATACTTCTCAGGAAATGAACATGAAACCAGTAACTGCAGTTTTCCATTGGTAGAATGTGACAACACAAGTCAATGTATCGACTTTGAGTTATAAAAAGGCAAGATGATGTTTAACAGTGTAAGACCCTTTCTTACTTGGATTATTCTTAGGAACAAACTATGAATAGAAATGAATGGTATACACATTTGATTTTTCTTTAATCCAAATTTCCCTGGCTTTAATGTGTTTTTCTTTTTGTAACAATGGGAGAGAGATGTAGTTTAAGATGTTTCTCCTTATTTCATTCAACATAGTTTTCAGATAAAAAATAAATCCTAGGCAAAAAAAAATTTAATAAGATTCATTTTCCTTGTAAAAATAAGTTTATAAAGGGTCTTCATTTTATATTCTGCGTCTATTTCTTTTCTTTTCCTTTTGCACCAAAATTGATGGGAATATTGCCTGAAGAAAAGCAGAAGAGAACAAGCCTGAGGCTTTTCACGGACAGTCTGGCTCCTATTTAGTTGGTTAAATTCTGCATGTGTTGGGAACCAAGTCAGAGAAGGTGGGGAAGTGAGACTTTCTAAATGACCCATAAATTCAGCAGAGACATCATACATGTGGAATCGCACTGCAGGAAGCACCTGGGGCATGGAATAGAGGAACACCTGGATTCAGACCCTGCTTTTGCTTATTAATTTTGACTGATTTGCTTCACTTCTCTGAGGCTTGGTTTCAACACATATACAATAACACCTGGCTCAAAGGTCAGGTATGAGGATTACATAAAGTCATACTTGGAAAGTGGCTGCTTCTTAGTAGTGTGAAAGTAACAGCCACTATTATTACAACATCCTAACAGTGATTATTATATGCAGGCATAACCCAGTCTGAGAAAGCAGATGTTTCTTTAATCTTCTTGCATTCAGGCATTCACTCTTTGCAAAACTGATGACAGCGTATGGCCATGGGTTCAATGCAATACTTACCTATTAGGGCGACTCTTTTATTTTTTATTTATTTATTTATTTTTGGTACTGGGGATCAAACTTACAACCTCATGCTTGCCAGTCAGGCGCTGTGCCATTGAGCTGTATCCCTAGCCCAGGGTGACTGTTTTAGTCAAACTCTTTCAGCAAGATGGCTAAATCATTGTGTGAACAATCAAATGATCATGGAGAAGCCAACAGAATCTTCTTGGTACCTTTTACATCCCTGATTAGTATATTTCAGGGCAAACATTTGCTTTAAATAACAGTGTGAATTGCTTACTTTATGACATAGGAATTTATATATATATATATATATATATATTTTTTTTTTTTTTTTGGTAATAAACTGCCTTCTCTAGCTATGATTTTTGACTCCCTGAGAATTGGATCTAGAAAGAAATTTAGGGGGCTGGAGATACAGCTCAGTGGCACAGCACCTGCCTGGCAAGCACAAGGTCCTTGAGTTTGATTTCTGGTACAAAAATAAAAATTATAGAAAGAAATTTAGATATCCTGTGGTACAATGCTAAGTTTAGTGTCAATGAGATGAAGAAGGCACAAAAATTGAAGTGACTATCACAAGAGTAGTGGCAACTTCATGGCAGAACCAGAGCTAAACTTTATGTTCTAGTTCCTAATCTTATATTCTTTCATAATACCACTTTTTACTTGTATCATCAAGGTGATACAGTACTTTGCTGCAGAAATGGGGAAGTGTCTTTGAAAAAGATGTGCATAATATATACATACCTTATAGGCCTCTACTACCAAATTGTTGAGGTTGGCAGCTGTTGATTCTATTTCACCAGCAATGGTGCCAGGCAAAAGGGGTAGAAGTTCCTATAAAAATGTATCAAAAGTATTTACGTAACACTCTGTCATGGGTCAGTAACAATAATAGTTTTGTAGTTACAGGTGAAAAGTGAGCCATTACATGAATGAAAATTTTAAGACATGAAAAATTTAATCAACCCAGAAATAGTAGTGTGTGCATGTGTACATGCATGTGCATGAGGGTGAGTGTGTGTGTGTGTGTGTGTGTGTGTGTGTGTGCTGTATGTGTGCATCCTGAATTACATGATGATCTAACAATCCAATCAAAATATGGACCAGCGTTTCCCAAAGTGTCTTCTGCGGGACATAGCCACAGGAGACTTCAAATATGAAAAGGGTTCTGACCTTAAATAAGTTTGGGAATTCTGTATATGGTGTCTCCCATATACATTAAGGTGTCTCCCTTAAATATTCAAAGTGCACTTTTGCAAATTAAATTGGTCAGAGTAGGCCTGTAATTTGAAAGTAATTTAACGTTATTTAATGCAGCATTTTCCAGTACTTCTTCAGTTACCAAACTATTTTCTCACATAACAAAGATAAATACTGTGTAGGACTAGTATTGCATAGAATGACCTTTGGGACATGCTGGGCCAGACAGGAGGAAAAGACATAGTTACAGATGGGAGCATCACGGGGTAGATGCTCACAGTGGATAATACTTAGTAACTCAGGATATGCCGAGAGGGAAAATGAGAATAAGCAGAGACCTGCAGGTCTTCCTGGGAAGAAACTAGCCTGATTATAGCAAAGAGCACATAGTTATAAGGAATCAGGTTATAAAAGGCTTAAAGTGCACCTAGTCCCTTTTTTTCTGTTCATAGGCATCATTAACTTCCTACTGTATGCCAGCCAGACTTAGGCACTAACAACATGGTATCTCAAATCACAGGGAAAATACATCACTTATAAATTTCAAAAATTCATTTATTCAACTTTTATTGAGCATCTACTATATACTACCTTGGAAATGCTGAATTTCTAAGTTAAAAAACTTTCCATCCTTAAGGATCTTACAGGTATATGAAAGTGACATTTTCATAAACAATGTACATGTGAAGCAGCAGAAATATTCACAGACACTATTAAAGGGGTTCTCAGCAAGTATTTCAGAGGAGGGGAAAGTTATTAGGAACTGTTTCTTTGAAGAGGAGACTTGTGAGCTCTCTCTTAAAGGATGAGTAAGAATTAGCCAATTAATGAGAGAGAACGGCTTCCAAGTATGGGCATGAAAGGAGGGTGAAAAAACAAAGACACAAAGGATGGAAAACGTCCTTCTTAGTGAGCACGTACAGGGCAACTAGAATCACAGCTCGAGGGACAGTGTGGGCAGAGAGCAGTAGTACAGTGAGGCCAGACAGACAAGTAGAGGCCAGGAGGTCTCATGTGCCCTATTAGAGTTTGGTCTTTTAATCAGAAGGAGCTCCTGGAACCTTTTATTTTGGGCCATCATATGAATATGCATGTTGTTTTAGTAGATTGTCCTGGCAGCCATGTACAGAATGGATTTGGGAGATGAGTTACAAAGCTGCTTCAAGCAGACAAATGATGGCTTGTAAAAAAGACCTGTGGGAAGTAAAGTAGGTGGCTTCGTGGAATACACAGGACTCTCAGAAGGGCTCCTCAGGCTTCTAGATGCTGATGATTCTTACTCTGCACATAATTCAGTTAGTATTACAGTTGATTTAATAGTTCATCAATCAGTGGCAAATTTACAAAAGAGTAGGGAGAAACTGCTAGAGCCAATAATACTCTGAAGAAATAGTAAACAGCAGGGAAAGAGAAGAGAAAAGCTATTTAAACAGTCTGTACATAAAATCAGCTATTTAATTTTATTTATTTATTTATTTATTTATTTATTTATTTATTTTCGAGTACCAGGAATCAAACTCACAACCTTGCACTTGCCAGGCAGGCGCTGCGCCACTGAGCTAAATCCCCAGCCCCGCAAAATCACTATTAACCATAGAGATATGGAGCACTGCACTTGAGTGGTAGAAACCTCTAGACAAGTAGTTCATTTCTCTAAGTGTGTCCTAACCTTAAAATGGGCATAATAATAAAAGTGCCCCATTATTTTAATAGCCAGGATAAGTAGATAAATTAATGCTTAAAATCTCAGGGCTTGAAAATAGTTAAGTAAATGGTAAATAAAAGCTGTTTCTGTTATTATTAAAGTATGTTGGATCATGTAATTTGAGCCAGAGTCCTACTTCTGTGGATGTTAATTTGCTGTTACATTAAAAAAATGGTTCTGTGGCAAACACATCTTGAAAATCAGCAAATTAAATAAAGTTTCATTGTAGATTTCCACAAGACGAATGATATGATTAAAGCACTTAATAATAATTAGATAATTAAGATGTCTCAGAGTGTAGTTAGGTATTTGGCAAATGGGTGAATGAACACCAGCCTTTTGGCAAATGCAAGTAAGTTCAAGTTTTTGTTGAAGCCAGGAAAAAATATAGTTTTTTCAAAAATTTTAAAGAATAAATAGAGAGCACTGGAGACTGAGCACTGAGAGGATCTACAGTTAGTGGAAGGAAGAAATAGAGTGAGCAAGCAGATGCAGACCAGTGAACAGTGATGCATCATGAAATTTAAGGTATCACAACATCATGGAAATGACTGGGGAGCAGAGACCCTAACAGACTGCAAAGAATGCACAGAAAGGGCACAAGAGAGCAGTTCTGGGCTGGGCACTCCATGGTGTCTCCAGAGTGATACTGCTGCTTGGTGCCTATCTTATTTACAAAGCTCACTTGGCCCAAAGGTTTCTGGATACTACCAAAATTATGATCAGGCACAAAGTGTTTAATGAGCTTGGATATCTAGCTCTATGGCTCCTTTTGGTACTTTCCTGGATAACCTAGAGTCTAGTTACTTATATCCATTACTGGTGCTAGATGTTTTATATGTGGCCTGACATAATTTCTTATCACTCAGTGCAGCCCAAGCAAGACAAAGATTGGAAAACTCCTTACCTAGACCAAAACTAAGTGTACTGGTAGTATTGAAAATTAAGCTGATATTCTCCAACTTTCACCTACTATAAGGACATGTCTATGGACCAGAGTATAAGCAGGGCTCTGGCCATGGAGAGTGCAGAGATGGAGTGTGAAAGCATTCACTTTGCCAAAGTCTTGTCATTATTGTCAAATGCTAGGCTGTGTTGATGTGTCTTGAATAAAATTCCCAAATAGCACTTAGTACACACACTTGGTTCTAGATGATATAAATTTAGGTAGGATTTGTATTTAAATGCTAACTTGAGACACTATAAAGTACTTTAGTTAATACTTCAGTTAATATAGTATTACATTTCTGATTCCAAGAAGTGTCCTAATTTCAACCACAATGCAAATATTCTAATTTTTATGTTTTGGGAATTAGCATACCTTATACCAATGAAACTGTTTTCCTTGAACTGCAAAAATGACATTAATGTTGTTGTCTATTAGTTTTTCTGAAAGTTGACCTAGTGATGGATGTTCCTGTAATAGAAGATGAAAAAAAAAAAAAAGAGTGAACTTTAGTAGCTCAGCCTCACACATATCCATTGTGAAGAAAACCATGCAACTTACATAACAATGTACTTGCTTGGTAAATGTTATGATTTTACTAGAGGCATTTAAATTATTTTCAAATATAGCATCAATATCAATGTAATAAGTCCATTTTTGTAGGTGAAATCTCTATAAATACCTACAACACATAAATGAAGAGGGCCTAATGAAAAATGTACATAAAGCCATCAAGACCTCTTTAAAAAATTAGCATAGACTCAGAGTGATGGAATTGAAAGATAATTAAATATGCATAGATACATTAATGACAATTACATTTGGAGGCAAAGTTCAGTAACAAGTATTAAAATGTAAATACGTACTTCTGTATATGTATATACCTATGAACATATGCACATAGAGATCCATATATCTGTCTGTATACATATACACAAATATACTCACTAATATGTATGTATGTATATATATGACTTATGACATGATATAGTATAAATTTTCTTTAGAAGCAGAAAACCCTGTGCTCAAGTCCTAGTTTGTCATTTCATGAAAAAGTTCCCAGTTCCATCCTCTAACACATGAATAATATCCCCCTTGCATGACTAATGGCAACATTAAGAAACTATAATAGTAAAGAATTTGGTGAAGTTTCTTACATCCAGTAGGTACTCAAAACTAACAGCAAGTATGATTTTCATTTCTAGCTACTTGGACAAAATATAGACTAAACATCTCTCCCTATATTGTCAGTATACTTCATCTGTTTTGTGATATATTATAAACCTGTTTCATTTTGATAGATAAAACATATGCAGAACCAATTGTAGCATTCTTTGTGGTAGTAAAATCTAGGGATAAAATAGGAGAAGGGAAATCAAATTTTGTTTAAAGGGCTACAGGTGTAGCTCAGAGATAGAGTGTTTACCTAACATGTGCAAGAGCCGGGGTCAATTCCCAGAAGTAAAAATTAAATCAGATTAAAAAATGTGAGAAACTCAAACTGACAGAAATTGCTATCTAAAGTTATATAGTACTCTCAATTTTTGTGTAAGTGTTTTTCTGGGAATTAAAGTGATTGTTTCAACTCTAGTTCATCTCCCAGAGTGACGATATCAGACTCTACCTGTAGTCCTCCTACTTGTTTGTTGGTGCCTAACTGCATAAGCCAAAGCTTTGGCGACTGAGCTTAACTAGTACCATATAACTGAAGTTCAAATTATTCCATTGTTTCCGCTCTTGTTGCACTGTCCACTCCTCACTGTATTTTATTTTTATTGGAAATTTTTGCTAAACCAGTTTTATTGTTAATATCTCTGCATTTTGGAAACTATATGAACTTAGCAAAAAGTTAAATAGACTAGTTTCACTTATAATCTGAGTTCCACAACCCACATATTAAATTTATAAATATAGACATAAAGTGTAGTCTGATGTTTAAAAATATTACTGGGGCTGAGGATGTAGCTCAGTGGTAGAGCATGTCCTTAGTGTGTGTGATGCCCTGGGTTCAATCCCAAGGAGAAGCCATAAATATCCTTTTATTTCTATATCGTCCATCTTTGTGGTGGCAGTAACTATTCATATTTTCATGGGTTGCATTTAAATGTGATATGAAACCAATTTATGAAAAAGGCTTAAAAAGTATTACCACATGGGTTTGCATAAGAACAGTTCTGCCAAGGGCAATTCTTAAGAATGTAATTTTAAAGTGATAGAAAAAAAAATCTTCCAAATATACATTCTGCCAGCTAAATTCTTATTCCCATTCCTAATAAAATGCATCATTTTAAAATAGATTTATAACTGTTTGCATAGTACGAGTAAATGAAAGAGAACAAGCAAAGGCAAGGTAAACCTAGCTGTACTGGGAATATTGTTTTAATGGCAGCAACTACTTTTCAAATAATTTTGCTTTGACAAAAAGTAATTGCAGCTTGCCAAGAACTCACTTTCCTTAATTTAAAAAAGCTATTCATATTTTTAAGGAAAATTTAATCCATATGTTTTTAACAGGCCAATACTTAACTCACATAAAAATGAGTATTTAAAGAACAGTTGAAAATGTAAGTAGCTTTTGGAGCCTTCTTAATCTCGTTCCCCTTGCAAAAACAGGAAATCACATTTGCTAAATGTACACAAAATTTAAATCTAGAATATTCTAGTTTGGTCAGAAGCTCATTAAAAAGATTGGTCAGATTTTTAAGCTTAAGAGAACACATGTTTCAAACCCTAGAGAGAAATCTGTTTTAAAAGAAAATTCCAAGTACCTTGAGGCAGATTTCTAAAAGTTACAAATGTATAACAGATGTTTAAATAAACCACCGTTGACAAGAGACCTATGGATTAATGGCCCTTTCTGAGGCCACTTCCCCCTTCTTCTATGAAGCATATTATCATTAAAGATTTTATCTTTTATGTGCTTTATTTTACCAGCAGGAGAACATACTCCCTCACACGCGGCTGTCTTCTTTGAGTGCTGTCATTGCCCCTCAACCTAACCCTCTTTGTCTAACCCCTTACACGTTGTTTCTCTTAACCCTGAGAATAATTACTAGAGATAACAAGCATGTCAGGGGCAAAAGGGAGAAGGTAAAGCAATACGCCAAGCCAGCTGCTAAGTAGTTAAGGCTGTGAGAAGTAAGTTATACATGTCAGAAGAGAAGAGTAGGTAAGAAAGAGTCTTTGGGAGTAATTGCAGTTAAAGTGATAACTGTGTAGAGATGCACGGTAGAAGTTTAATAACCTGTGTGTCTAGATGGAAAAGAGAACTATTTAAGTTTCTCTCCATCTTAAGTAAAATTAGTAATAAAAAGTTTATAAGATGATTTAGAATTTTAAATATTGAACATTGTAATAATGTATGTAAACAACCCCAACAAATTAAATAAAATGTCAACTATATGAATTATATTTCAGACTTCTTTTTTAGAGGAAAGACACAAATAATATGGAAGCAATCTGACAGCTGAGATTTATTTAGAGATGAAAACTTTAAAATATATACTGTCAGTCCACATCTACTTAGATAGCCTACTTTTTAACATGTGAACGTTTTATTGTGCATTAGAAAAAAATGACAAAACCAGGGAAAATTGTAATCAAACACTCATAAGTAACTGAGTCTAATTATGCAAACAGTAACTCATACAAAACAGCTAGAGATTAAAATTTTGTAAACTAGAAATAGTTTGCAAATGCAATTTTTCCATGAAACCTCATTAAGTTAAATTTTTTTTTAAAGAGAAAGAAACAATAAAAGCAATGATGCAAAGTTTCAAAACAAGGTATTAGGAGATTAACAATAGTTAATATATTGTATATTGTTATCTTCAAAGTAGTTGCTCAGATTAAAAGATATAGGTATGAAAATATAGGTAAAAATATAAGCATTAATCAAACAATATAAGCACAAACTATACTTTTTAATGAACTAACAGAAATTAGTAGTATATTTATCTTAGATATCATATATATGTATATATATACATATATATATACCTATAGATAGATAGTCTTTTCTCTTCCTTCTTTTCGCCTTTCCCCCTTCCCAATTATTCTTTCCTTTTAAGCAGTTTCTTCCCTTTTTGTAACACCTACTGCACATTTTGAATCGTATTTGCTCAGTTTTTTATACTAAGGAGACAATATGTTTATGTATGCAGGTCTGATTTATTTCACTTATGGGTATGGTTTCAAGTTGTATCCATTTACCTGTAAAAGCCTCACGTTTATCCTTCTTTATAGATGAGTAGTACTCCATTGTATAAAAATACCACATAATTTTATCCATTCCTCAGTTGATGGGCATTTGGGATGTTTCTAAGATTTAGCTATTATGAGTTGTACTGCTATAAACATGGGTGCACATATATCACTGTGGTATGACGCCTTTAATTTTTCTGGGAAAAAACCTAGAAGGGGAATAGCCAGGTTGAATGGAACCTCTAATCCAAATTTTTTGAGGAACCCCCACAGTGATTTCCACAGTGGTTATACCAGTCTATACTCCCATAACAGTGAAGAAGTGCTCCTTCTTTCCCACAGCCCACCAGCATTTGCTTTTGGTTGAGGTCTTGATGATAGCCATTCTTTCTGGGGTGAGATGGAATCTCAGTGTTGTTTTAATTTGCATTTCTTGAATGACCAATGATGTCGAATTTTTTTTTTTATATTTATTTGCCATTTGTATTTCTTCATCTCAGAAATATGTATTCATCTCAGATGCCCATTTTGGATTGGGTCTCTGAATTTAGGGGCCGTGATTTTTTTTCAGTTCTTTCTATGTTCTCGATGAAAGTTCTTTGTCTTAGGGATAGTTGCCTAAAATTTTTTCCTCTCTGTGGGTTTTCTTTTCACTCTGTTGGTGATTTCTTTTGATGTGCAAAAGCTTTTTAGTAAGATGGCATCCCAGGTGATTCTTTGAAGAACTTCCCCTGCAGCTTGGGTTTTATTCATGAACTCTCTGCCTACAACTCTGTCTTTGAGATTTCTACCTACTTTCTCTTCTAGTAGATTTAGTGTTTCTGTTTTAATATTTAGATCTTGATCCATTAGTGAATGGTGATAGAGATGGGTCTAGTTTTAGTCTTCAGCATGTAGACAGACAATTTTTCCCAGCACCATTTATTAAAGAGGCTATCCTTCTTCCAGTAAACATGTTTAGACCCTTTGTCAAAGATAAGTTGAGTGAGTGTGTTTCTATGGGCTTTGGGCTTGACTTGCTCTTCTTTTCCTAAAAGTTTGGAGTGCAGCATTAGGTTGTTTATTTGTGCTTATTCTGTTTTCCTGTTATGAGAATTCACTGGTATAAATTTCCCTCTTAGGACTGCTTTCATTGTATCCCATAGGTTCTGGTAAATTGTATTTGCATTTTTGTTTGATTGTACATATTGTTTAATCTCTTCTTTAGTTTCATGTGTGACTCATTCGTTGTTCAAGATGGTGTTATTTAATTTCCATGTGTTTATGGA